GCCCCACATTTGCAGATGGCCGCCCCTCCGTTGCCGTTATGCAACACCTGGCCCTGCCAGACTGCCCTGTAGGCATGTCTAAGTTTCTTAGTGCGGGGAGAACGGAGAAGGCGGCGAGGAATCATCCAGTCCGCTCCATCTCCTGCACCTTCGGCTGTGGCAACATTGCCTATCCTGCCGGCTCGGAACTCCTCAATTGCTGTACGGAGAAAACCGCGGATCCTGTGTGAGCAAGTGGGATTGCCAAGGTCAATCCTAAGTTGCCTGCCCTTATGCTTCCACAAAAGAGGATCCGTCGCATCTATTCCTAAGTCCAGACAATACTGGCACATAGCTGCCACTGGGCCTGCAACCGTCTTCCATCCGTGAATGGCTCGGGACTGTCGTTGCCAGGCAACACGCCATGTGCGCTGAAGAATTCTCGAGCCTTGAGGCGAGATATTAACAAAGGCCCTGCAAAGGGCATCCGCTTGCTCAAGGACCACTTTTTGCAGAGGATCCTGCACCTGACGCGACATCAGATCTAGAATGACGTCTGTGGAACCGAATTGACTCCGCCCAGCGTGACGGGCCAACGCAGCTCTCACAACCCTCAAACGGTTAGGCGCAACCCCTTGTCCCTGATGACCATACAAGCCGGCGGCAAGGGGGGAGGCGTTGAAAACCCTGGTCCTTAGGCGCCTGCTCAGCTTAAAGCTCCTGAGCTTGGAATGCCTGGAGAGGCAGATTCTGAATCTTTTCAAGGCCGTGGTGACCCTGCGGCGTTTCGCTCCTGCAGAATCGAGCCCTAAGTCCTTGACCAGCTCCGCCACCTCCGGCATATTTGGACCAGCCATGGCACGGAGCGCCTTCCGAGACTTAGCATTGTTGACCACGAATTTGGTCTTGCCCATATTGAGCTCCAATCCCTCGTCGCGCAGTAACCGCTTGAGGGACCGGTACACATCAACACTTAGGGAAGCCGCTATCTCAGCATCCTGATGGGCAATATCAATGCTGATGTCGTCAAGCCAAAGATCGGCATGAGACACCCCCGGCTTAGCCATGATGGTCTTTAGCGGCTTGTAGGTTGTTAATTTAGCCAAGGTCGGCGCACACGGACAGCCTTGCAACATGCCCCTTTTGGGCCAGATTGATGGGGAGGCCACGCCCTCCCCATACAAGCACCTAGGTCCCTCATAAAGTTGTACGGCCAATTCTAAAATGAGGCTGGGGAAACCCAAAAGCATTCCCTGCTGGACAAGGCGCTCATGGCTAACAACAGCTTAAAACCCCTCCAGGTCACAAAACAAAGTAATGAAGGTTTGACCCCTGAACTTATGATCCTCAGCCCTGATCAGGCGAGCTAAGCCGAATCAAAGCCCGACGCGCGGCTATACTTTCTAGCCAGACGGCGAGGCTCGACCTTCTCAATTTTGTCCATATGCGCCAAAGTACCGACGTGAGAGAGATCGGTCTTTCTTTGAGCGCCGTCTTTGGCAGCAGGGCTACCTGCACCACCTGAAGCTGGAAAGGGATGCTGACCTGGCCCTCCATTTCATGATAAAGATCGGTCAGCATCTGATACCCCTGATCGGTGAGGTTCCTGACCGCCTTGTAGGACCAACAGTCTATGCCTCCCTTTTTCTTGCCAGTTTTGTGGCACGCTGCCTTTACATCCTCCCACTGCAAGGGTGGGAGCGTGCTTGCTTGCATGCGGGCCTCAGCCTTCAGGCAAGTTCTGGTGGCCGTTGATTCCACTTGGGGCCTTATCAACGTGCCATCCCAAATATGGGACCAAAACTCCATTTGAAGGTACGCCCGACACAGAAGGCTTTTGTCCCGATACGGGCGCAGAGTGGTCTGCTCAGGGCCTTTGATGGCCTTATATACCGGCCCGAGATGAACGATCCAGCCAAGGAAGTCGTCT